CCCTCTGCGTGCTTTTAGTTGGCTGTTACATCACTGTATATTTCGACTGTACTGTAGACATCGTAGCTGCTCTGTATTTGTTGTCTCTGAACCTTGGATGATTGTAGACTTTAAAGTCACAGTCCAGGAGTTTTTTGAAGTGTGGTTGTGTGAAGTGTCGACACAGAGAAACACGTTTCACCGATTCATTTGACCTTTTGTTTCACTGGAAACTGATGCTCGTTTCTGAACCAGTTGTGTCTTAACACATTTAAATCTTAAACTCAGTCCTGTTTAGATGAAAACACCTGGAGCTCCTGCCTTATTGTCCTCATGAGTTTCCAAGATAATTAGATGAATTTGTCAGTCTGTGAGAGCGACGATGGCCAACTTTTTACTGGGACAGAGAAAGCATCAACTTGGAGGTTATGGTTTTGAACACAACCTGAACGTTCGATGTGTTTTTCCAACTTTCTCTACTTCACCAAATCCAATGGAAAAAATCTGCATTTTTAGCTCACGAGGTCAAATGAAACTTAGTCGGCAAACACCGCCTTCATCTGTGATGTCATAGTTCATCACATGGAACTCATTTTATGGCCCAACTGCAGGACAGGAAGTTCACATTTATTAGCTTAATTTTCACCCAACGTTAGCAGCTTCAGGGCTAGCTTGTTTTTCCGGCTGTGACCGTCTTCGTATTAGTTTTCTCTATCTTTTGGCTAACGTCTCGTTGTTTTCTAGTTGCTAAATGACGCAATTTTACTGTATTTTGGTCAAATTCTTTCCTACTTTTTGGCTAACATTTAGCTATTTTTGGTATATTTATATCTTAGCCGTTTTTGTACTAATTTATAAAACTCCTCCCCCTGCATTTATTTCTAATCTGTAGCTCAGTTTGTCCTCGTGTCCTCACTGACAGTTGTGTTTGGATTAATGCTGGTGTCAGTGTAGGGGGCGCTCACACTGTAGTAGGAGCCAATTAGCTACGGTGTCAGAACTTCATATAACCACACAATGAAAAAAAACTGAACTGTCCCTTTAAAAAGCTGTGTAAATTAACATTGTCTGGACCATGAACCACAAACTCTGCTGTGGCCCAACGTCATTGGTTCAAATATTTAACGTCAAACCTCTAAAGTGTTAAGGTAAAGTGGGAGGCCTGACCTCCTGACCTCCTGACCTCCAGAATGTTAAAGTCAGCTCTCACTGGAAAAGCTTTATAACGACCTTAGAAGTGCTTGAAAGTGCTTGAATGTAACCTGGAAACTCATCCCGTCTGATTCAGGCTCTGACAGCAGTAACGAGGGGGTCAGAGGTCAGGGGTCACCTTTGGACCGCTGTGCGTGGACACTGTGTCCATAAATGTCCTGCTGTAAAAAGTAGTTGTGGAGACATTGTGAGCGCCCACTGCTGCCTGACTGTGGTCACAGCAGCCGCCTGTTTGAGACACGTGTGACTGTCATTTATATTTGTTTATAGAATACACCGTGGGCGTTGTATATTTAATGTATTCTGTAAATATAATATAAATATTATAAATATATTTATCAGGGTAGTTTGGATATCGGAGCAGCGTGTTTTTAAAGGTTCAGACGTACATCAAATCTTTAACTCTCATCTTTCATGTCTTTGTTTTTTTTTACTAATGTGCTGTGATGCCTGTGAGGACCGAGTTCTCAGTGTAAATAAGGGGTTTCCATAAAATGGCTTCAACTGCAAAACATCTTTTTTTCCCTGTCAAAAATAAAAGATCAACCGTGGTCTGTACCATCAAACACTCGGCTGTTGGTTTTCTCTCCAATCACCTGGTACCGTGTCAATACAACTGATACATATATATTTGTATACCATATATGTGTATATATTTGTATACACATATATGGTATTTTATATACATATATATATACACACATAAATGTATACATACTGTACAAATATATACAAATATATCAATGTATACATATATTTCTGTGTATAGATGTATGCATATATAAACATATATACACACACAGACACACACACACACACACATATCTTGATCCTTCACTTCATGTTACATCACCACGTAGTATTACCTGAAGTAATAATTCCAGATGGAAGTTTTTAAGGTACTAAACACAGTTTCAGTGAATGTTTGCACTCGTCATCGCGTTTTACCGACAAGTTTCCACAACAAATGTCACGACACTACTGCAAATATTTAATTTGTTCTTGACAGTGAAACAACGGTTGCCAAACAGGCAGCAATGTCAGCAGAGCCGGTTGAAGTGACATAAATAAACGATAAAACAGTAAAAACAATAAAATAAATAAACATAAGAACCTCTGTAAAAGGACTGATTGTCTCCCCCTAATGTCTGGTTCATGTAAATGCACCATTAAAAAAGAACATAAAAAACCAAATTAAATAAAAACAAAGTTGTTGTTCATTAACCCGTGAGAACAGACTCCCTGCTCGTCGTCTGTTGTGTCTGTTGTCGGAAAGATCCCTTTTCCTCGAGTTTCTCTGAATAAAAAATATTTATACACAGAGTGAGTCAAAAAGACACACGTTTGTTACTGTAGAAACGTCTCCTGGGCGACTATTGTTTCAACTCCAAATACATGCTAGAATGGCTCATGTTTCTCACTCATCTAAAGTCACTGTTGTGTGAATGAAGATCCACCTTTGGTCTCAGCTGAGCTGAAGCTTCTCTCTCGACCTGGCTGCGACCTGCTCTCTCTTCTCACTGTGTCTCCTCAGATCTCTGACCTCCTTCGGCAGGGTGCCATTCCACACCATCAGCACCGACTCCTCGTCTGGGGGTCAGAGGTCGGAACACACAGAACATCAGAACACACACACACACACACACACAGAGAGAGAGAGAGCAGAGAAACTGTGGAGCCAACGCCCCGCTGTCACCTGGAGGATGGTTGTCCTGTGGATGACGTCGGCCCAGAACCAGCACCAGGTTCTTCCAGTTGAGAGGTTCTGTTCAGACACAGATACAGCGGTGAGTAAAGAGTTAATACAACGAGATGAAATCTGAGCAGCAGAAACGCCGAGTCAGACTGAGGAGCAGAAGAAGAACCTCACTGTGAGCTGCACGTGTTTTTGTCAAATCATCACTGGGCCACAGTATTGGTACATGCACACGCATACTGTGTACTTATATGTGTGTATATATATATATACTGTATATATATATATATATATACTATATATATATAGAGAGAGAGTATATATGTATATACTTCAACTTCAGACTAAAAATAATTGTGATAATATAATAATATAGTTCACATTTACAGTGTAAACAGCTGGAGTTAAGAGGTTTCTAAAAACACACACTTTAGCTAAAATGTAGCTAAGAAGGTGGCAGCTACAAGGCTAACATGTCTAATTTTATTTCCAAATAAATTTGGCTTTTGAAATTCTACACCAAAACAGAGCGGACCAACCAATCAGAGTGGAGCTGATGCAGCGGATGGAGTCACAGTGAGGCCGCAGCAGCTGCAGGGTCTGGTGTTTGGACAGTTCTATCAGTAGCAGATGGCCCCCTCTAGTGCCGACCCAGAGCGCTGCAGCTGTCTGAACCAGCAGGGCCTTGACTGAGGCCCAGGACGGAGCTGCGTCAGCGGGCTCATCCCCTTCACTGCTGGTCCTGTTCCTGTGGTGGAGTCATGATGGAGTGAGGACTCAGATGTAGAAGCCTGTTTGTTGGGTTTTCAGGTGTGTGTGTGTGTGTGTGTGTGTGTGTGTGTGTGTACCTGATGATCTGAGCACAGTCGATACACTCCACCATCCTCTCACTCCTCTTGTCCCAAACCTCAACAGTGGATGAACCAGATTTACTCAGATACACATGTTTATCCACAGCCATCCTGGACACACAGGCCTCGCTCACTGCCCTCTGCTGCCCCCTGTAGGACGGACACAAACGTCCAATCTTTAAATAAGTGTCATTTTTGTAGTTCATTAAAATGCTGTGGTTTGTCATTAAGAACTCTTTAAAAATGATCCACTGAGATGTTGCTAAAGCACTGGCTCCCAGCTCCTCCTGAGACCGCTGCTCTAATCTGTGTGGACTCACTGCTGGACCAGACCGGGCCTGGTGTCCAGGCTCCTGCTGACGTCGTAGTTGGCGGCGAACGACAGAACCTTGGAGCCACAGCCGGCCCACACGGACCTGCTGTCCAGAGAATGGGCCGACTGACCCAGACCCATGAGCGGAGTGTTGACGGTTCCCACCTGGATGGTTTTGACAGGCTGACCGTTGACCTGCTGCAGGGAGAGGAAGAGGAGGAGGAGGAGGAGGAGGAGGAGGAGGAGATCAACATCAGAGCTCCAGACTGTGACACAGACTAGTCTGTAGTCTGTAGTCTGTAGTTTTGACACATGAACCCTGGTGACTGTTCTTTACCTTGAGAACCGAGTCTTCGTACACAGTCAGAACTCCGTTGGCTGTTCCCACCAACAGGTAACTCTTTCTTTGGCTGCAACAACAAATGGATTCATTCAACACTGACCGACCAACTGACTAGAACTGACTAGAACAGACTAGACTGGACTAGAACAGACTAGACTGGACTAGACTGGACTAGAACAGACTAGACTGGACTAGAAGAGACTAGAACAGACTAGAACAGACTAGAACAGACTAGAACAGACTAGACTGGACTAGAAGAGACTAGAACAGACTAGACTGGACTAGAACAGACTAGACTGGACTAGACTGGACTAGAAGAGACTGGATCTCACCTCCTACAGGGGAACATGTGAAAGTAGAGTGAGGTGACAGAGTCTGTGACTCTCTGCAGGTGGTGCCACGTTGAAGCGTCGTCAGCGTTGATGACCACCAATGAGCCGGACTGAGTGCCTGCCACCAGCCAATCACAGGCCTCGTGAGGAATTTGGACCGTCACGAGACACAGGACCGGACTGGAGTCGACCTCCTGACACAGAAAATAAAACCGTTTGTATTTGACAGAGCTCCACGTTTGTTGTTGTTGTTGTTTCCGTCACGTTGTCCGTACCATCGTCGTGACTGTTTCATTCTCCAGGTCCACGGCCGTGACACAACCGACGCTGTGGCTGCTGCTGCCCCCCCCCAGCCAGGTTCTGCTGATGCTGGTGGAGCTGACGCTGATGCACTCGGCCGTGAACCCAGAGGGAACCATCAGCTCCTTCATCAGACACAGCATGTCCCCTGAGTTCAGTCGCTCAAACACCTGCACACAGTGGACACCAGCTGGTGGACGTCTGCATTACGGCCGCCAGGAGGCGCTCCTTCCTAACATAACTCAACAGTACAGCACGTTCACTGACATGGTGAGAGGCAGCAGCTGGTTCTGACCTGAGCAGATGTGGGTCGATCCTGAGGTCCAGGGTTCAGACAGTCCTTCATCAGAGACTGGAAACCAAACCAGGGAGGACAACTGTAGTGTTGGACTGGATCTGTGGACAAGACGGGGACAAGACAGGGACATTAACGACCGACAGATACTACATTAAAACAGCTGTAACACGTCAGGCATCGGGGGTCTGATTCCCAACCACTGGGCCGTGGCCCACTAGTGTGCCGTGAGAGACAGAACGATTCATTTTTCTTCAGCTAGGGGGCAGCAGATGGCTATAAAAACTAACAATAATAATCAGAGCTGTTGAAGAAGATCTCTGTGAGTGTCTTTCTTCAATTCCTGCCACTTTATCAGTGTTGTCTTCAACTAAACAGGCTGAGGTTTGAGTCACTGATGAGGCCATTTCATCTAGAAGATTATTAGATTTCATTTGTCAGATGTTTGTTTGTTGGTGTGACGTGGGGTTTCTCCTGACGATATAATTGTGTCGTGGCTCAACAAAGGTACGAGAACACTGCAGAAACACACACACACACACACACACACTGCTCCTCACCTGGCAGTTTCCCCTGCACTGCTACTTCATCAAACTCACTAGGAAACTTCATGCCATCAGAGATTCGCTGACCACAGGTCAAGAGGTCATAGAGGAGCAGGCCGAACGAGAAGACGTCCGCCTGCTGGTTGTAGATCAAATTACCTCTAGCGACCTCTGGTGCTCTGAAACCTGAAGGGTAAAAAAACAGTGAAGCTGTAATGAACTTTTACTTTAATACAGTTTTTTTAAATTAAATATTTTCTGTAAATGGAAGAACATTTTTTTTTTGCAGACATTATTCTAATTAAAAAAAGATCCATCCAGAAACCAACTGATTTGAGTTCTAATTTAACTGATCCACTTTTGTCCTCGGGGACATAACACAACACTGTCGTTGTAGTACCATAAAGTTTTGCAAACCAAACCTACAAAAGTACAACAGGGCTGTGTTACATGTGGTTCATCTTCTAACGACCTTTAGAGATAAAGGGTTAGCTAACGACCTGGCGTTCCCTCGGAGCTCCTCACTCCCATGCTGCAGCAGTACTGAGCGATGCCGTAGTCTGTGATCTTGGCTACGACCTCAGAGTCGGTCTTCAGGTTGAACAGAAGAACGTTGTGAGGCTTCAGGTCCCGATAGATGATCATGGAGGAGTGAAGGAATCTGAGCGAGCAGAACAAACAGTCTGAGTCCCAGGAACGTCACACCACACAGTTCAAACATCACGCGGTGAACAGCGCCCACCTGAGGCCATCGGCCACGTGCAGCGCAATCCTGTGCTGGAGTTTCCGGGTCAGCGTTCCCAAAAAGAGAGTCCAGGGAGCCGTGGAGAGCCAGCTCCATGACCAGGACCTGGGGGGCTGCACCGGTGGCCAGCAGAGCCACCAGGCTGGGGTGACACAGACGACCCAGCACCACCAGCTCCTGGAACACAGACCAGCGTCAGTAAACACAGGGACAGGCCGGTGGTTTGGACTGCTGACGTGGAGAGGACTACCTGTCTGAGGAGTCTGTAGATGTAGAGTTCAGAGGCGTGTTTGTTAAATATCTTCACGGCCACTTCCTCATTTTTGTAGACGCCTCGATACACGGTCCCAAAGCCCCCGCCGCCTGTCGTCACAAACGTCAGGAGTTGACATGTTTGATGCATTTCTAAGAATTAGGATTGACTATAGCTGTAACACACACCCCAGCCCACTGGGTGGCACTAATTAAGCTAATTTTGAGTTTTTTTAATCAGAAGAAAATGGGTGGATGTTTGGTGATCAGTGAAGAAAGACCAAACTGCACAGCTAACGTTATGGGTGGATGTTTGGTGATCAGTGAAGACCAAACTGCAGAGCTAACGTTGGCTAATTTACCCAGCTGGTTTTCTTTGGACAAATCCACGTCCAGTTCTTGACTGTCCAGAATGGTTCCCGCGGGCTGATCACTGAGAACCAGGTCAGGAGCGATCTGGGAGAGGGGCAGCGTTAACCGCGGGTCGTCTGGATCCACCAGCAGGAAATCTGAAACCAATAAGGAAATTAGAAAATGATCTGTAAAAGACCTTTAAAACTGAACGTTCATTCAATCCCACTGACAGATTAACAGAACGTCCTTCACATTTTCATACCATTGTCAAAATACATGAAGAGTTCCTCCAGCAGGATTCTGCTCCACGGCTGACCGTCTTCAAAACTGTACAGAGCCCACCTCTTCAGCAGGGCCTCTCCGCTGCCGTGCACGTCCATGTTGAGGAGCCCCGGGGACCACTCCTCCAGCAGGGAGTCCACGTGGTCCACCACGTGACCCAGCAGCACCCGCCCTGCGAGGACAAAGACACCGACCATGATCAACAGCTGATGGAGTTCACTCTGTGTCAAAACTGGACTGTCCTCAGAGAGCGTGCCTTTCCTGGAGGAGGGAACCGTTATCCTGACGAAGCTGGACGGGTTTCCCTCCTCGGACGAAGCCTCCACCAGACAGTAGGCCTCAGGAGACCAGCTCAGGTAGATCCCTCTCCTCCAGTAGATTCTGTTGGGTCGCAGAACCTTTTCTGGGGAAACAACGACATGGATTTAATGCAGAAGAAACAGGGTGTGTGTGTGTGTGTGTGTGTCCTGGTACCTCTGCCGTAGAACAGGTAGGAGGAGACTTCCAGCAGACGGCTGATCAGTCGAGACCAGTAATCCATGGGGAAGTAGGGCATCTCGTAGAGACGCACGATGACCTCTGAGTTCTCACTGTGAGGCAGCTCGATGACCGGCCTGTGTTTGGACAAACTGAAAACACACACACACACACACACACACACAGTCAGTGAGTGTGAAAAACCTAAACCTCCTCCTGCTTCACGGAAACGCACTCGCCGGGCACCAGCAGCTGGTCTTCTCCGAACGGCAGCGCGATCTGAAACTTCTCCAAGAGTTTGAAGAAGTGGACCAGGTGACTCTGTGGGAAACATCTGGATTCAGACAGAAACTTCTCCACCGCCGAGCGATGAATGACCCCGCAGCTCCTAAAGGTCAACTTCTGCAGAGTGAAGAGGTCACTGGTGTTACCGTCATCCACCTGTACCATACACAGGTGTGTGTGTGTGTGTGTGTGTGTGACCACCTGGGAGATGATGTTGCACAGCCACTGTGGGTCAATGAAGTAAAGTTCCTGAAGCTGAAGAGCAGGATCGTCGAAATGTAGTAGAACTCCTGCAGGACAAAATATATACATGTATATATTTTGTCCTGCAGGAGTTCTACTACATTTCGACGATCCTGCTCTTCAGCTTCAGGAACTTTACTTCATTGACCCACAGTGGCGGTGCAACATCATCTCCCACGTGGTCACACACACACACACACACACACCTGAACACATACTCCAACATATATGTACATATATACATGTATATATGTACATATATGTTGGAGTATGTGTTGGTGTATGGGTTGATGTATGTGTTGGGGTATGTGTTGATGTATGTGTTGATGGATGTGTCGATGTATGTGTTGATGTCTGTGTTGGTGTATGTGTCGGGGTATGTGTCGGGGTATGTGTCGGGGTATGTGTCGCTGTATGTGTCGGTGTCTGTGTTGATGTATGTGTGTATGTATGTGTTGGTGTATGGGTCGGTGTATGTGTCGGTGCATGTGTCGATGTATGTGTCGGTGTTTGTGTTGATGTATGTGTTGGTGTTGGTGTTGATGTATGTGTTGGGGTATGTGTCGGTGTATGTGTCGGTGCATGTGTCGGTGTATGTGTCGATGTATGTGTTGATGTCTGTGTTGGTGTATGTGTCGGTGCATGTGTCGATGTATGTGTCGGCGTATGTGTCGGCGTATGTGTTGGTGTATGTGTCGGTGCATGTGTCGATGTATGTGTTGGTGTAGGTGTCGGTGTATGTGTTGGAGTATGTGTTGGTGTATGGGTCGGTGTATGTGTCGGTGCATGTGTCGGTGTATGTGTCGGGGTATGTGTCGGGGTATGTGTCGGGGTATGTGTCGCTGTATGTGTCGGTGTCTGTGTTGATGTATGTGTGTATGTATGTGTTGGTGTAGGTGTCGGTGTATGTGTCGGTGCATGTGTCGATGTATGTGTTGGTGTAGGTGTCGGTGTATGTGTTGGTGTATGGGTTGATGTATGTGTTGATGTATGTGTTGGTGTCTGTGTTGATGTATGTGTTGATGGATGTGTCGATGTATGTGTTGGTGTTGGTGTTGATGTATGTGTTGATGGATGTGTCGATGTATGTGTTGGTGGATGTGTCGGTGTATGTGTTGGGGTATGTGTCGGTGTATGTGTTGACACACGTGCGGTCACACTGACCAGCTTCACTGAGGAAGTGAACGGCGTGAGGAAGCTCGGCCTCGTCCAGCTGCAGCCGACTCCTGCTGATGAGCTGCTGCAGCTGCTGCCGTGTGATGACAGGGAACTCGGCAGGAACCCTGGTTCTCTCCTGCAGAACCCTTCGCTCCAGCTCCACGTAACTGTCTGGAACCAGCTGACCCATCACCCGCTGACCCTGGATCTGTGACGGAAGGACAGATTCTGAGTTGACGCCGCCCACGGTTTGGTGGACATCGGTCATCAACTGAGGGGTCTGACCTTGAAGTCCATGACCTCTGCGGTTATGGCCTTGCGGAGTCTGGTCATGGCGTCTGAGTCCTCGCAGACGGAGAGCGTGTGGTAGTCAGCGATGGTGGGGAAACCCTGGTGGTTGAGCAGGTCTTTCCTGATCTTGTTCAGACACTCCTGCAGCTGCAGATCGTCACTCACGTCTTTGTGGGTCCCAACCAGAATGACCGGAGAGAGAGGAGCTACTGCCTGCAGGTTGGGGGAGGTCAGAGGTCAGAGGTCAGAGGTCGGGTGAAGTGAAACAATGATAAGGTAAATCTGTGTCTCGGTCTTGGTAAACTGTAACGACGACATTCAGTCTGGTTAGAATTTAAAGTGAACGTTTGTTCAGAGGAGGAAACAAAGAGACGGAGTGTTCCGGAACACGACGCCTCCAGATCTGTGCTCTCACCAGACACGAGAGCGAACAGCGATCGTACGTGATAAATGTCTCACTTTGATGTTGAAGAGCCAGGGTTTGAGGGCGTCCACCTGAGCGGCTCCTCTGCTCAGGTCGTACACCACCACGTAGAGCGCTCGAGGAGACAGGAAGTGGAGATACGAACCACTGGACTCCTCTCCACCTGCAGGACACAGATGATGATTTCACTTTGATGGAGAGGACAAAACTGCAGGTTGACGGTCGAAGAGGAACGACGGCAGGTGGTAGGTTGGTGGGTCGTTACTGACGGTGACTAATTACAGAACAACAAACCACCAGAGTTCCACCAGGTTCTAGCGGTGACTAATTACAGAACAACAAACCAGCTTCTACCCCGTCCTGTCAAACGGACTTTTCTTATCTGTAAACTGAGGTCAAACCAGTGCAGCGGCAGGTCAGTGAATGTCCAGGAGAGCTGGAACGCTGTCCCACCTGAGAAGTCCCAGACGTTGAGCACCATCCTCTCTCTGTCCCGGTCCCTGATGGTCCAGTCTCTCACATCTACGCCCACGCCACTCCTCCTCGAGGTCGCCTGAGAGCGTTTCTGCTTCATCAGCTCATGGATCAGGCTGCTTTTCCCGCTGCCAGAGTTTCCGACCACAATCAGTTTCATGCGGTGGTACGGCACGGCTTTTTTCAGCCGCTGCTGAAGAAACCTGAGAGAGGAGACGCAGGGGAGTTAACATTTGTCGTTTATTAAGACGTTTTCTTTTCGCTTTCCTTTAAATGAGTTCAATCATGACCTAATTATGTCTTTGGTCTTGTTTCCAATGAGCTTCAAGTCCAGCTGGAGGCGGAGTCCGTCCAGGGGCAGGTCCCACAGGCGGCTCAGTTTCCCCATCTCATCAGGGAAGAAGCGCAGGTTCGAGTTTCTGCTCACGTCCAGGGAGGTCAGACCTTCCAACAGACCGACCTGAGGTGGAATCTGGATGGAAACAAGTCAAAAACATTGACCTAAAAACTCTTCTTTCTACGTATTTCATTTGTACCCAGGTGTTGTCTGCAGCCCTGTACCTCAGTGAGCTGGTTGTCACTGAGGTGGAGTTTCTCCAGTCTGATCCATCGATGTACTGATCCACTCAGGTCCAGGTCAGAGATGCAGTTCTGGCTGAAGATCAGCTCTCGGAGGTTGTTTGAAGCCCAGAATTCTGGGCTGGGAAGAACAGCAATGTGGTTGGTCCTCATGTCAACTGACCTCAAACTGGACGGAAGAAAACGACGAGAAAACTGAAATTTAATCAAATTTAATGGAATGTTTTCTAGAGAAAATATTTCAATATTTTAAAAAAAACTGAGCAAATAATGAAATTTACTTTGGAAGATCCAGCACAGCCTCCGAAACATAGGTGAAGTTGTTGCTCGCCAGCTTCAGTGTCATGACCTTGGGAGGCAGGTGTGACAAAGAACCTGTAGGGGGCAGAAAAAACAACATGGAGAACTTTAAACTATATTAAAAAGAGAAAGTCTGAACCTGTAGGGGGCAGAAAAAACAACACGGAGAACTATTATTAAAAAGAGAAAGTCCGTTTCCTTTGGGAGTTGGACGAAGAAAATCTGTGTGAAAATTCAGACGAGGTAAAACTTTAGGTTTAGTCCAGACTCACAGATTTTGTTCATGGAAGCGTTGAAGATTTCCAGTTTGGGGCAGCCGTTCAGAAAGTCGGGGGAAACGTTCTCCACACTGTTCTTGCTGACATCCAGCAGTTTGAGGTCAGGCAGCTCCAGTGATGTGGACAGTTCACGGATACAGTTACTGAGGAGGAACGAGGGACAAAGTTACACTGGCATGAAAAAAGAAAGGCTGAATGAAATCTTTTAAAGTTAAAACCAGACTGAAGTGAAGTTTGATTACAGTTCTGGTTCAAGTGGTAAATTAGAATGTATGAATGTATTCCTTTGTTGTACTAACAAGTATTTCATACTTTTTGCCTGTGCAGTATATATTTTCATCTAGTTCTGTTCAGGACAACTCAGAACTCAATCGACCTCTGGAGGAACAGTTCAACCACAAACTAAACGTCAGGTGTTTTAGCTCAACCACAAACTGAACGTCAGGTGATGGCTTTTAAAAACTCTACCCTTCGATGGACAGCTCCTCCAGCTGGTCCAACACTCGGCCCAGCTCGTAAGGAAAGGTGATGATTTTGTTGAAGGACAAGTTGAGCTGCCGCAGTGAACGACAGGTGACAGCGGGGTCAAAGGTGACGACTGGGCCCACGCAGTTACGAGAAACGTTCAGCGTGGCGATCAAAGGAAGAGACAGCAGCTCTGTGGGCAGAGACTGGAGCTGGTTGCCCTGAAGGTCAAGTCGGGTCAAATTATTTAAACTCTGTCAAATAGAGAGAAAAAAAAAATCCTTTGAACAAACGGTCAGTTTGATTTGATGATCTGAGCTTCGGTGAAGATGCAGAACATTTACCTGACAAAGCACTGAGGGAAACTCCAGAAGGTTATTCTGGTTCAGGTCCAGGCGAAGGAGATGACCCAGGCGGTCCTGCACCAAGCCGTTGTCCATTAGACAAGACAGAGTGTCCAGCTCGTTTCCCGACAGATCCAGCAGTCGGATCCGCTCCCTCTCTTTGAGCAAAGAACAGGGATTCTCCCCTGATCCAAACACTGGATGAGACGGAAGAAAACACATCAACAGTCGTGGAACCAGTGACACAAAACAAAGAAGGAAACAAACAAACAAACAGGATTGGTTAAAAGGTGAAAAAAAAGAATGTACATTTCTGCATGGAGCCAGTTCTCAGGAACCTCCTGGGCATGGACTCGCTGTGGTCGTGATCGTTGTGACCACTCTGATGAAAAAAAAAAACACAAAACCAAACAGAAACACCAGAGACACGGGGAAAAGTGAGAAGGAACAACATGAGAGTTAAGAAAAAAAAGAGAAGAGAGAAAACCAAGTCATCAGAGGTTGTCACCTCTGCACTAGCGTGTCTGTGACGCCTCGGCTTTCTGCTGAAGGGACTTCCTTTGAGCTCCTCCATGGAGCTGTTGTGTAACTTTGGAGACAAGGCTCCCGACAGTGAATCACTGCCTACGAACGAAAGAAAACGAGAAGAAAAGAGACGTTTAAAGCCGTCACTATGGACGTGTGGAGCTGAGAACCAACAGACAGTACAGACGGTACAGACGGTACAGACAGTACAGGCGGTACAGTGTGGCACAGTTAGATCCAACAGACAGTACAGACGGTACAGACGCTACAGACGGTACAGACGTACACAAGTAAACACGTTTGTGAATTTGAAATTGATTCCAGAGTTGACATTTGTATATTTGATTTAAAACAGTAACAGAAAACTGGAGTTAAATTCCTCGAACACTGTAAGAAACCTGGGCCTGTTTAGTTGAACACAACACTAGCAGGAATTGAAGAAAGACGGAGACGGAGCTCTTCTTCTGTCCGTCACTGACGCTGGATTCACAGAGGCCACCTCTTATTGATTATATATTATATATTTATTTATCTCAGAAGTTTTTCTGATTCTTCTTCTCATCAACAACTAAACTAAACAAAGACCAAACAAGGAACTGTTTTTTTTATAGTACATCATGATGTAAGGCTGAACTAAAGACAAGTCAGAAATATCTGTGAATAATGAGATAGATTTCCTGGTGGAAGCCTCTGTCATTACAGCATCCTTCACTCTGATTGGTTACGGTGAATCACACGCTAACATTTGCCCCAGGACAATGTTCAAAGTGTGTGTGACTGTAGTACAACTGCACAGTCGTACTACAGTCGTACGACAGTCGTACTACAGTCATTTCATTATTGTATTTTTAACAACGAGCGACAGAACTGTACCATCGCTCTCCAGGTCATCGTTGAAGAACAAGCAGTCATCTGTGGAGACAAAACTGAAGCAGGAGTCGTCACTCTCATCAGAAATGTAACCAGAGGTCAAAAGGGGGTCGGCCACGGACCTGGCAGGACCGCTGACACTCTTTGACCTCTGGAGGGAGTGGATGTACCGGGCTAAAGTAAGACCTTTGCCTTGGAAGACAGGACAAACCAATATTATAAATATTATAAATACATTTCGATTGTTAGTGAAGATTATAAAACATTTTTCCCTCACCGTTGATACAACGCAAACTGTTTGTCCTTCCCTTTTCTGCCAGCAGGGGGCCAAGCCAGGCGGCATCCAGGCAACCCAGTTTGAAGCCCCCCAAACAGAGGGTGCTGTTGTTGAGGTCCAGACCCAGGCAGCCCAGCAGCTGTATGACCGTAGGAACGTCTCCTCTCTTCACGCTCACGGCCAGCGCTCGGCGCAGCTGCTGCTTGTGAGCTCCACGACTGATGAGGAGCTCCACCAGCTCGATGGGTCCTCCTCGCTCACACACCTGCCCACAGCACCGGTGTCAGGGCACGTTGGGTTAGTTCAGAAACGCTGTGTTGTCAGGAAGGGGTTCAAATCTACTGTCGTCGCTTCATAATTAATTAATATTCAAGTTCTAGCAACAATTAACCGACAGGTCAGAATTAATGAACAAACGAAGATTAAAAAATACATTCTTACAGATTTAAAAAAATTAAATCTGAATTGAAATTAATTTAAAAGCATTAAAGACAATGACCTGAGATTGTTCGCTTTGGAAAAGAAATATGTGATGGGAAGTAAAAAGTAAGAATTTTATTTTTTTAAATGTTTACAGTAAATAAAACTCAAATTTTATATGCAATGTACTCACTCATATAATTCACATATGTTTTAGTCAAGATTTAAACTATTTTAAGTGTAGGAAAATAAAAAATATTAAGTAGGAGAAAAAACCAACTAGTGACTAATAGTCAGTGACAGGGTCTACAGGTTTAGGTGTAAATAATATCTGTCAAACGTGTGAGTCAACGTCATCATGGTGAGAAATCCGACCTGGTAGATGAGAGACTCTGTCTTGGTTTTACTGTTGACGTCGGCGCCCAGCTCGATCAGACACTCGGCCATACTGGTGTCTCCGTCCTCGCAGGCCTTCTCCAGCATGGTGTAGTGAAGGTCTGAGTCACACCACATCCTGGACAGAGCCAGACACACAGACCTCCGCAGCTACAGACACCAGCACAGGGACAAACCAAAACGTTGGATCAAACACCAGGGAAATATGTCGGTGCAGCATTTACTGGAATATTTTTTCATCCTTTGGCCGGAGCGACGTATAGTCTGGAAAACATGGTATTTGTTTGAGAGTGATTCTCTGTCAGTGGTCTGTCTCACTCACCGGGCCGTTGCTTTGGTCAGGACTGTCTTCTCTGAGCTGCTGGAAGATCTGTCTGTCAAAGTCTACTCTCTGTAACTCAGCTGCCGATCCTGAACAGGCGTCCATCATCCTCAGAGCCACCTGGAAGCACTGGAGCCAGCAGAGGAGCCAGAAGAGGAGGACGAGGAGTGTCCAAGTAAAACACTGGCACTAGAGAATTAGTTCAAGTAAGACAGAGCAGCTAACCTTCAGGATCATCTCTGTGTCGTGTCTGTACTGAAGGAGAGACGCGACCACGACAGAGGCCAGAACAGGAACCATCATCCTGGACAGCTTCTTCTTAGAAACCAGGTAGGTGAGCAGGGTCAGGCCCCAGTAGTGGATCTCTGCAGGAAGTCACAGACAATTATTCACCGAACGCCGACACCTTTGGAACCAAAGCAATAGTTTTCAAACTTTGGTTCAGGGACCAGTGATAAATAAAAGAGGCCTTTGATGTTTACTTTTGTTTTTATAAAGCCTTGGCAGCAGAACATTATCCAACTTCATCAAACTGGTCCCTGGTTTGCCTCAAAATGAGCAAATGTTTGTACCTCGTTCTTGTGGGAACATCTGCAGTGTGTGCAGCACCGTGTCTATGGCCCCCTGTTGGCAGAGTAAGTCCACTGCACCTGAGCAGTCAGCCAGCGCCGACAACACCTTCAGCCCACACTTTTGAACAGTGGAGCTGCTGATGAACTGTGTGGACACAGAGAGAAGGCTGAGAGTTGATGTTGATGTTGATGATGTTGTTGATGATGTTGATGTTGTTGTTGATGTTGTTGTTGTTGTTGATGTGTTTCTATGTTTAGACCCATCTCAGTTCCAAACACAGCCTCCCCAGTGTTCTGCTCTGTGACCAGTCAGTCATGAGGTGTTGAAACAGTGACATAAGGTTAATAACATGACTCAACTCTTGACTCTGTAGCTGTGAGTGGGGGATTCACTGTACAGTGACAGTTACATAATTCAGCCGACACATTCCTGGCTGCGCTAACGTCCAGCGAACAAGAGACGGAAGAAACTGATTTTGTGAAATAAATCTGTGCACTCACGTTTTACTGCGATATCGTCACTAGGTAGTAGTAATAAGTAGTAATATTTGAAGGTCATGTTGACATACAATGGAGTTAACTGAGAAAAATGATTATTATATTATTTATTTTAAATAAATACTAAGTTTGATCATTTTTTCCCCCTGACTTTTTCAGCTAAAATTCAGCCCCAAACCATTCCAGGACTAAACCAAACACTTCAGCTAAAATTCAGCCCCAAACCATTACAGGACCAAACCAAACATTAAAACCCAGACTCAACTCAACATCAGACCTTTGTATATTGATCTCCAGTTTCATTCTTTTGTTTCATTTCAAATGTTCACTGTGTTTTTTACCCTGTTGAGAACCTCCAGGTACAGCGTGTGAGCTCCTTCCACCACACACTGGTTTTTCAGGACCCTCAGGGAAACATCGGCCATGTCAGGATCTGCAACCGAGACGCCGTGCTCCCTCAAACTCCTATCTGGGAAATCCACACACGGAGAGAACAAGTGAGCGTACAGTCCACGAAGACAATCCCTCTGTTGTCAGTCACTAATCTCATTACAACTGTTAACTGTAAGTGTGTCTGTTAACTAGGGGTTAATTCTGGAACACTCTAACCTCATTTTAACAGGAACAAACTGCTCCACTAAAGCGGCGATGTCATTGGACAGTGGTCGAGGGACATGTGCAGCATTCCGTTATACATTTTCACAAATTACATCACATCATGATTGTCAGCTCGTCTGGATTCATATTAAACTCTGGTCCAGTTTATGACCATGTTGTTGTCGACAGGAAGTACAGGAAGTACAGGAAGTACAGGAAATGTCAGCTTTTGACTGATATAAAAAGTATAAAAATTCATTAACAGTTTTATTACACACATACATGCTGGGACACAAGCAGTCGTAGCTCCAACGTTAACAAACATAAAAATCTAATCAAACCTTCTACTAATAAATTCCCTAACGTTAACTGGCCTAAAACCTCAAACTATTTTTGTCACTTGACTCAACTGTAGTGAAACTACTTTCATGGTAGAGTTCACACAGGACATCGATTCGCTCAGCAACTCCTGACTGCTCCCTTCCTACCTCTCTCTCTCTCTCTTCCCCTCCCTCCCTCTCTCTCTTCCCCTCCCTCCCCCCCCCCCTCTCTCTCTCTCTCTATCGTTTTCACACTCAGTCAAATATATTGTTAGTGAAACTGTGACTGTACTTTCCTCTGGTGTATTTAAAGTAAAGCAGAAGTGTCCTGTAGGAGTCCACCAGGTCTAAAGTACCTGAAGAGTCAATGTGTTTCAAAGAAATATTTATAACAAAACCTGAACCTGAAACTCCTGCTGCAGCTGTTACAGATTATAAAGAGCTGCAGGAATTCCCTGTCAGGGTTCGTTTGTGTGTCTGCAGAACTGGACCTGGGCACAGGAACACCAGGCTGGCCTGCAGAGCCTCCAGCTGCACATCCATCTGGAAGTTGTGGACCTTCATGGTGCTGAGGATCTGGCTCATGGCCATGTTTAACTCATCCAGACTGGCTGTCCTGCAGAACAGGACGACAGGGACCACAAGTTAATGACGAGCAAAACAAACATACGTTAAAAAAATAAATCTATTCCAGCAAAACAAACATACGTTAAAAAAAAAAATCTATTCCAATGGGAAGTTCAGCTTCAGAAACGACTGATTTTACTGTCAGTGGTAAATTCAATTGAATGAAAACATTTCTGACAGGAGATCTGATGAAATCCTCACCTGCCCTCAAACAGCAGGCTGAGCAGTTTGCAGGCACTGATGGAAACATCGACTGAGGTCAAATGTCTCTTCATCATCTCGATGAGGTTCACGTGGAGGCCACTAGAGAGCAGCAGAAAACGCATCTTACCTGCAACAAACACAGACATTCACTAGAGTAAGAGTTCCCGTTCCACTGTGTCCGAGTAGGTTTTTTGGTAGAACGTTAGGGTTAGTTCAAGTCATAAGCAAAACAAACTCTGTCTGTAACAAACACTGACGCCGTTTTCAGATTGTAGTTAAAACAGGAATAAAATATAAAAATATAAAAGTGACCTTTCTGTAAGGTTAACACGGCAACATGAACAGAAAGTGAGCAGAGCTTTTATGCTCACAGCCTGACACCGTGTCACTTTAACTGAGTGACATTCCCACCTCCACCACCAGGGGTCTGAACGTTCAAACATCACCAGAGCGATCTGACTGAGACTTACTGTTGTGTGTAATCAGTGTTGCTATAGCAGTGGTCGCAGCTTTGAAGACTCTGGGAGAGGACGAGTGGACCAACATGGCCGTCATCAGCTGCCTGTGGACAGGCGTCCTGAAAGACAACGGTGGTTGTGGTTGTGGTTGTTGTTGTTATTGTTGTTGTTGTTGTGCAGGTCGTGTCACAGGGTCAATGTTTTCATGAGTGTCACCTGTCGTCCTGCTGGTCTGTGGAGTGACTCGCTGCAGCTCCGTGCAGCAGCAGACTGTGGATGGCCCAGCAGGCGGCTTCCTGAGGAAACACACACACACACACACACACACGATTGTTTGACACTTCAATCCCACAATTCCACTGGGCTGCTGTAAGAGTGAAGCGGCAGGAGGATGCTGACCTGGACCGCTGGCTCTTCAGCGTGCAGTTCCAGTGCTGAACAGCAGGCCTCCATCCAGCCCAGGCCCATGTCCTCCACCTGTGCCTCACCCCTGTCCTCCCCCGCCTCCCCCTCCTCCAGGGCCTGGTCAGCCACGGCTTTGGTCTGTACAATGGTGGCAGCTGTAAGGAGGAGGCAGACATGGTTCTATGTAACATATGTTTATGTACATCAACAGAAAGATCACACCTGGATCAGATATGTCAAAATTAAATTATTATTAAGAAATTATTGTCTTTTTTGGTTTGTTTTAGCCACAAACCATAGATTTCTGGTTATCAATCAATCAATTTTCAGTTAAACATGAATCAAAGTTTCAGATCACAGTTCAGTGATGAACTCTGCGTCGGTGTGTTTCTGGTGCCGGTTCAAGAAAAGGTGAAGAAAATAAATAAGTCAGTGATTCCAGGATCATTTGTCCTGCATGTTCACACACTTTCTGGTGACATCACAGCTGCTGCGTTACTAATATTTGAGATACAGCTCAGTGTTTACTCTCCTGCTGTAACCTCTACAGTGTGTGAACACCATTGTTCTGCTCTCTCTCTCTCTCTCTCTCTCTCTCTCTCTCTGCAGCACTAATCCACCTGCACACACAGGCCCAGCAGATGACACTGTCAAGTCAGAGTCAGAGTGTGTGTGTCCTCACTGAGGTCAGCCAGGCAGGACAGAGCCGCGGCTTGAAGCACGGCGTTGTTGGGAAATCTCCGACAGGCTCCCACGGCGACCCGCTGCACGCCGTTGAGCACCAGGATGTTGAAGTAACTCTCTGAGAGAAGGAGACAACGGAGGAGGGAAACGCTTCCACTGGTTATCAGTCGTTGGACAAACACTGCACTTTATCAGAGTGGAGGAAATCCAAGCACAAACAGGGTTATCAACGTGTCACCTTAGGAAACAGGCACCAACTCAGACTGTGAGAATCCCCTCAGCCTGTAGTTAACCTCCAGTGCAGTGATTATCAACTGGTGGCCCGCTGGCCATTTCTGGCCCGCCCGCATTTAAAAGAACAAAAGTGACTGTTTGTTGAGATGAACCTCATGTTGTCCAATCTTAACAGTGAACTGGTAAAAGGCCGTTGAATGAATGAATGAATGAATGAATGAATGATAAACTGTGCTGTAACTGTGAAGTCGTCAGGTGAAATGTGTCTCTGACCTGAAGTAAACTCCCTGAACAGACAGCAGGCGGCCTCCTGCAGCTCCTCCGTCTCAGGGAAGGCGTCCATGGCAGCGATGATCAAACTGTAGCAACGAGTGCCTCCCGACATCAACACCTCCACGTTACTGACTGGAGGAGAGGGCAGAGGTCAGAGGTCAGAGGGGTAACTGTGCTGTGACCAATGGCAGAGGCTTGAAGACTCACTGCAGGCTCCATTTGACTCATTTCTGTTCATGTTCAGAGTTGGATTTTATAAAGAAAACGACAGCAGTTCAATAAAGGGTTAAAAAACTGTTCAGAATAAGTGAACGCCGCACATTTGTTTTTCCTCCTCCTTCTTCCTTCTAGAGTTAAATAAGGAAAACAACACTTGTACTGTGTGATATGGATGATGTTCAGTGGTGGTCATTAATGAAGGGAATTCATCTGGGAATTCCTTCAGTCTATTAATTACATTCTGTGTTCCCAAAAAAAAACAAAGAACTTCACTACAACTATATGAATGTTGGAGTCCAACTGACGGACAAGAGATTCTGTGAACAGTGTTTGGTTTGAATCTAAAAAGCAAATACAAAGAGATCTTAGAAAACCATGTCGGCCGCTCGTGTTTTCTGGTGTTTAATCAGATTTATCAGCCGTTATGGTGACGACACAGTCGGCTGCTCAGGCTACAGACAGAAAACAAGGAACAACAAAGTTCCTGTTGATTCTTCTGTGGTTAATTTGAACAAAGGGTTCTCTGGGTGGAGGCTTTTGGAATTCTACATATTTCTCTAAACTTTACCAATTCTTCCTCATTTGTAGACACTGGATTTTTGAGGAAGCAATTTGAATATGACCGCAACCAAAAAATGTCAGAAGTGAAACCACTAATTTAACTCTGAGTCAGTGGTTACCAAAGTGGGGGTCAGGACACCCAATAAGGCCCATGGAGCAGCTGCAAACAGATTTAGTTTTTTTTTCTCCACACTGGGTACTTCTGTAGAAGACAAATCCCAGTTCCTACCAGGACGTGTCAGGGGCAGCAGAACCTTCATGGCCTGCAGGAGCAGCCTGGGGTTTCCAGGAAACCCTTGAAGAGCTGCCAGAACAACGACATGGTCCTGGTTTTCCACAAACTCCATGAGATGATCCTCACTGACTGGAAGCACAAACACATGGAACAGGTTTTAGTGTTTAAGATAAAGATGAATTGTTAAACTGCTGCTGAGAGGAACATGTCAGTGGGTCATTCTGTCTGATGAAGTAAGACTTGACCTGACATTATATCCAACAATAACACGTAGATAAAGTTATAATTTGTGTACTTTTGTAGCTCTGATTGTCTGACCTCGTCTGCTGCCGTGAAGACCACACTACATATAAATATTTGATGACCCACCTTTCTGCAGCAGGACCTGCAGAACTCCACAGCCTTGGAGCTGCACTTCTTCAGTGGTAGGAAACATCTTCATGGCCTGGACCACCAGGACAAAGACGTCCTCTTCCTCCTCCAGCACCAGCAGAGCCACGGTGTCTGCAAAGCCATCCATCACAGGAGCCTCAAGATCAGAGCTAATCAGACAATCACAGGGACAGCGTGGAGTATTGATCTGAAGTGTTTCCCAGGTACCTGACTGCAGCAGTAGCACCAGTGCCCGGAGTCCTACCACTGTCACCCTGCAGTCGGCGCTGTACTGTGACAGTACCTTCAAGATCTGCCTGCAATACACACACTTGAAAACTTTTTTCTGAAGTTTTTACTGAAGTTGTCGTTTCTTTTAATTTCAACATGGAACAGATTTTAAAATCAATGTAAAGTTAAAAAAAAAATAAAAAATCCACAACAGTAGCAAATATTTCAAAAAGACATTTTTTAAAATAATGGGCTTTGGTGGAAACGGGAACTGTTTTCATTGAGTTGTTGTTTTTCTGGGATGGATTATTATTGGTAGGAATAATGGGAGAAAGGGGGAAAAACATGACCAACGCTGGGTTGTTTGGACTCACTGGTGTACTCCCAGTTCCTCCCAGTCCCTGGTGGCCTGCAGTGGTCCAGTCACCTGGTTCAGCACACTGGGATGTACTTCTATCAGCCGGCACAACAATGTCCATCCAGTCTGAAATAATAATTAAAATAAAAACATCATCACAGCATTTATTTATTTGAATAAATGAACAGATTTGGTTCAAATAACTGTGAATGAACTGACAGGAAGTCAGAAATCAACACTGCATTTTACTGTGGATATTTATACTTTGTTTTTCTCACACTGGAGTCCTTTAAGTTCATCTGATAGAAAAATTACATTTAGAACAGGAGTAAAATCTACAGGGTCTTAATCTTTATGTGACACATTCTTCACTTCCTGTCTGTGGAGATCTCCTTCAAAGTTGTGATTTTAAGTCGAGCATCAGGTAGAAACTTGTCAGGAGTTCAAGTGATTCAAAACCTGAGCCACGAGACCTGACGCCTGACTTTGACTTTATGTTTTTACTGCAGCAGTCACACCTCTGATGAAGTGCACAGTGGTCATGAGATGTCATAAACGTGCTGCAGAGAACAGGTGACGACGCACCACCGAGTCAAAGAGTCTGTGTAGAACACAGGTCCATTTGACAGGAGTTCCTCTGACTGTATGTTGAAGCAGTTTTTACCCAGCGGTAAACTGAGCCTGAGGTCAGAGCAGAGACGGCAGCAGGGTCCTGACTCTAGATAAGATAAATACTGAAACACTGATACTGAAAAGTTTCTCCTGCATTCCAGGGTCGGAGCCCTTAAACTTCTCCCCTGAAGAATTCAGTTCAAACCTGTGTCTGATTCTGAAACAAACTGGAGTTCTACAGTACGTGTCTGTCGTGTGGCACTACCTGCTGGACTCCTCTGCTGCTCATGTTGGACGACAGCACTGCGGTCAGAGGGCCGTGGATGTTCTTGTCTACGAAGAGCTCCGCGGCTGCAACAGGAAGCAACATACGAAGAGCTCCGCGGCTGCAACAGGATGCAACAATCACCAATCAACAACCACAGGGCAAAACATCAGGGTGTCAACCTCATACAGACTAATTAGATGTCAAACGGACCGAGAAAGGTACATTAGATAAATCTGTATATTTAATTAAATATAATTTGACCCCCCAGCGGGCCGGTCTTGGCCCTCGTGCCTTATGTTTGACCCCTGCATTACACAGAGACAGAGAGAATCAGTTATTTACACCCAAATACTCTTTAACCCTGTGGTTATTTCAGTCTGACCTTGTCCCACGGTTATGACACAGAAACTAACCATGTTTGTGGATTGTTTGTTAAGTAAAAGAATGAATGTGAATAAGACCAGCAACATTCTGTGTGATTATATTAGAACTACCTGAGGTGCAGGGCGGTCTTGTTGTTAAACAAATTCATAAAATCAAAAACTTTGAGGCAGAAAAGAATCCATGTCTATTTCTAACTGTAACAAACTAAATCACGCTTGACGATAATAAAAGCCTTGGTACAAACTGGGAGAATTTGAGTTTGGGTAAATACAGTTGAATACAGTCGTCTGGTGGTAGAGAGACAGAGAGAGAGAGAGAGAGAGAGGGGAAAAGATAGAGCACAATGTTTGTGTTGTTGTTGTTGGATATGAACAGGCAGAGTAACTGTACCCTGAAGGTAACAGAGTAACTGTACCCTGAAGGTAACAGAGTAACTGTACCCTGAAGGTAACAGAGTAACTGTACCCTGAAGGTAACAGAGTAACTGTACCCTGAAGGTAACAGAGTAACTGTACCCTGAAGGTAACAGAGTAACTGTACCCTGAAGGTAACAGAGTAACTGTACCCTGAAGGTAACAGAGTAACTGTACCCTGAAGGTAACATAGTAACTGTACCCTGAAGGTATATATATACACATCTGTCCCTGTTAACATCTGAACCAACAGTTTGACTATTACAGAGCTCCCTTCTTGTGACATAACTACTAAAACACACTGAGCTTCTCCTGGTCCTGGTTCTAGGATTTTATGACCATCATTTTCGACCGTAAGGCTGTGGAAATTCCTGACATAAATTCCCTGCTATACGTTTACATTCCTTAGGAATTTTAAAGGTATTTTCTTCATAACGCTCTTGATTTGTTTCTCATATTTTGAATTGCCCAGAGCACCTGTAAGACAAAACACAGATCAACTCTGGACACTGAGAATGAATGAAGAGATTCAGGTGGTCCAGGTTCCAAGTTTTGCATCTGTTTTTTCAGAGACAATAGTTTTGTCCTTTGTTCATGGAGGACAATGGCACTGATTTGTGATTTTATTTTCTGTTGTTGTTAAGTGATTGATTTTTAGGCTCTGCTTCTCTCCCCTGGTTATTATTATTAGTTATTAATCACAGTGATGACGTACAGCTGACGTCAGGGTCCAGGAGGACCGTTTATTGTGGCCTCACTTTTTAAAGAACTAACTTTCTTAGTTTGTGTGTATACAAATGAAAGGTTCTGTTTCAGTAGCTTGGTTCGTGACTCCATCCCTGTATCTCACCGTGCTCTGTGTGCACCAGGAACAGCAGATCCTCGAGGATCTGGATGAGGGTGCTCAACTGTCGGTCCTCCTGGGGTGTCCTCAGCCTCACCAGCAGCTTCTCCAGCCTCTCCTCCAGCTCCTCTTTGTTACCCATGCTGCTCCTGACACTCTTCCGTTCTCCGGGCCACCAAGTCCCGTGTCCCAACCCACGAGTGACCGAGGACTCTGCGGGTCCAGCATCAGTGACGGAACCGGTGAAGCCGAACGTCGCCCTTCGTTTAAACACGCTAACGTTCAGCGCAGTTCAAGCGACCGTCACCACATGGTGTCTCACTGTTTCGGTTCCGACGCGGACCGCGGTGTTCACGGGTGAACGGACCAACTTTTCTGACGCGGTGAAATGTCCAAGCATTTGCGAAAACTTTCAACGTTGTTCTGGTTCCTGTGCTGACGTCCGGTTAGGTTGGTCCGGACTAACGCTCTGCCCCCTCCGTCAGACTCATGTCATACTTATAATATACAGTGGGCTTCACTTCCCCACGGTCACGTCACATGACTCCAGTTAGAGAAATTTCCCGTTTAAGAGAGAGAGGGGGGGCGGGGGGGAGGAGGGAAAGTTACACAGACCTCCATACAAACTAAATAATAATGATAACAACCACAACAGCAATATTAATATGAATAATAATAATAATGGTAATAATAGTAATACTAGTAATAATGATAATAATAACACTAGTAATGATAATAATAATAACAATAATAATAATAATAATATATGTCTAATTTACTACAGTCTGTTTCCTTCCTGCTCTAACAAATCAGATGTTACAGAGACCTGGGGTCTGATGCTGGCTCCTTGGGGTGGGGGGGCATCCTGTCAAAGAAAAGAAAAACAATATTCAGTATTCAGTATGTAGTACTTAGTACTCAGTACTCAGTATTCCTCTGTGGTTCAATCTTCACACGTGTTGAAGAAAAAACAAATGAGCAGAACATAATAAATACATAATAATACATACACATAATAATGAACTTTGTTTTTATAATTCAAGAATAACATACATATATATACAGTTTTCTATATGTATTTATTGTTTTTGATTGGTTACTCTACACAAATATGTTTTTTTTATTTGATTTAAATTTTAACTTTTTTTTCTGTTTATAATTCTTGTGTCCAATAGGATCAGATTCACAAGGGAAACATTTTTTTCCAGAATAACACTGTGAAAGTGAGGAGTGAGTCAGACAGAACCTATTTTGAGACTCGGACTTTCACTGTCTCTCTGTGTGTCTTTTTTTCAGTCTTTTATGGACATAGACACAATTCAAGTTACTTCGAAAAACAACCAGGTAATGAAGGCTATTTTTTCTAAGAAACGAACCCTGGCAAGAATTGTTTTAATGGAATTATTGAAACAAAAAACCGTCTATTCTCGACAAGAATATGATCCGGTTTCTTAAAAAGGTTTGTGTGAAGATGATCCTGTTTCTTGTATTTCAGTGAATCTACAACCCGAGGACTTGTTTGGTGAAAAGACAGTCACACTGACCAGTTATTCTGGTCATGTGACTGACTTCCCGTGTCGTCTTTTGAAAGCGCTACTGCTGCTGCCGGCTGAGAACCAGACGGCTACTCACAGGTAGGTTTCTGGTTATTCCCCACATTATTCTCCATACAATGAACACGTGAAGTAAGTGACTAATTTCACTTACTTCACGTGTTCATTGTATGGACTGTGTATAATAAACGTTATGGTATTTTCTTTTTTAACCTTTTCAGTCATTTACAAATCTGTTGGTCGAAACTGACCTTTAAACTGACGTTTAAACATAAATATGAAAAACGGAATTGACTATAACAGCGACATCAACTAACGTGTGTCCGATACGAGAGAACAAAGAAAAAAGACTGGTATTAAAACATAATATTTTGATACATCTCAACCGGAAATGATTTAAACCTCCATGTCCACAAAGCTTGGTGGAACTGCGTGTTTATTATGTGAATTACGTTACAATTTGAGGACCACTTCTGCGACTTGTTTATATAAAATCGTTAGACACGGAAGTTACGTCACTCTTGACGTTGCAGAAACATGGCGACGTCGGGAAGCAGGAAAGAGGGTTCGTAGGTAAACAAATAGACCGAGAGACATTTTAAAGTCACTAAAGTGTGGGCTGTTTCGGGAGTTCTTCGTTATGACGTGTTTTTAAAATCCTACAAAAAAAAAAAAAAAAAAAAAAAATCCCTCAACGCACGGTTGAAGCCGAGACACTTGTTATAATTAACTTTGACAGAGTCTTTGGAGCTGGACGTGTTATTAGAACAGCACCAGTGTGAAAGTTCATCTCCGAACCAACTCTTGTTTAATCTGCTGCTGCTGTTGAAGCTGTTCTAGTATATTCTCTGTACAATAGCTTTTTGTATTATATTTTTTCTAATTTATATATTATAACTTATAAACCATTGGTTCTTAACTATAAGGAGCTGTTGTAACCATTTAAAATGATGGCTGCTTAATAACAAGCAGCCATCATTTTAAATCCACCGTTTAAGGAACGTTAATTGAATAATAATTATTATTATTATGACATGACATGGTATCGCTGCTGAGTTTTAAATACTTTTCTCAGAGCAAAAGCTGCTGAAACAACAAATCTGACTAATGTTCTCATTTACTACAATCTCTGTTTTGTATAACTGCACCTTTATATGCGTTAACTTCACATTAAAATGACTGCGTCGAGGACTAGTTTCAGACCTTAACAAACTGGTAACAAACTAGTAACAAACTTGGTGATGCAATGCTACTAAAATCCTACTGTAAATAACATATCTGTAACAGATATTCAGAATGGCTGAAACCAGATACTTCCCCAAATCACTTAGCCCTGAGCCTCTGTGAGCATGTCCTCTGTTTGTCCTATGTCCTCCAGCAAAGACAAATACAGCCTAAAACACATGAGCCACTGTGTTGGCAGCAGCCGGCAAACAGCGGACAGTGATGGAGAGCGGAGTCTCATTGCACCTCCGTCTGGGGAGATCGGCACCAGTGATGATGTCACGGACCAACAGCAGCACACGACAGGATTTGTCTACGTTTTGGCTTTTTTTTCTGCCATAGGAGGACTTCTGTTTGGCTACGACACTGGTGTGGTGTCTGGGGCCATGCTGCTTCTCAAGAAGGAGATGAACCTAAACGCTCTCTGGCAGGAGCTGCTGGTCTCCAGCACAGTTGGAGCGGCTGCCGTCTCTGCCCTAAGTGGAGGCTACCTAAATGACTGGCTGGGCCGCAGGATTTGCATTCTCATGTCCAGTTTCATCTTCACGGTGGGTGGCATCATCATGGGTTCAGCCCCAGACAAGGTGGTTCTTCTTGTGGGCAGAGTCACAGTTGGCCTCGGGATAGGTGAGTGTTTTCAAGGCGGTACAGGTTTGGTACCCAAACATTTGGAGCTTATGGCACAAACTACAAACCCTATTTACTGCAGTTACAGTAGAAACTTAATTGTGTTGTTTTGTTCATTTTTGTTTCCTACAAATTTTGCACTTTTTCCCTTTTATTAAATCTAGCCTCATAATCCTGCAATATCTTAAATATGTATGAACTATGTCTTGTGTTTTGACCTTTAAGGCACTGCTATGTAGACTAATTTAATATATTTATATTTTCATATTCTCCCTCCTCTCAGGCTTAGCCTCCATGACTGTTCCTGTCTACATTGCTGAAGTTTCCCCTCCTCAGCAGAGAGGTCAACTTGTCACTGTGAACTCCCTCTTCATCACTGGTGGTCAGTTCATTTCCAGTGTGGTGGACGGTGCCTTCAGTTACCTAAGCCCCGGAGGATGGAGGTGGCTACCTTTGTTATGGTTCCAAAGACATTAACCTGCCTATTTATTCAATCTGTATAAATGTTGCTGCTTTCAGAGTGTACAAAATAATTAAATTCAGCCAAATATTTACTTTTGTTTTAAGTACTGGACACACGGGGGCGGTGTGCATTAATGCTGCAGTCCAGAAAGGGATGGGAAAACTCCACTTGTGTTCAAGATCATGTTAATGTTATTTATTGATTGATTGATTTAGTTTCTACTAATAAACCAACCAGTCAAGGCAGGGGCTGCGTTTCAGTTATAATTCTAAATGAGATCAGAGCCTGAACAGGGACTTAAAAAGTGTAAAGACGTGTTTTCCTTACTTCAGGTACATGCTGGGCCTCTCCTGTCTTCCTGCGGTGCTGCAGTTCGTTGGCTTTTTATTCCTGCCCGAAAGCCCCCGCTGGCTTCTCCAAAAAGGCCGCAGCCAGGAGGCTCAGCAAGTTCTCAGCCAGATCCGAGGTGGCCAGAACGTTGACGATGAGTATGACACCATCAAGACCAGCATCGAGGAGGAAGGGAAGGACGCAGGCGCAGGTAAAGATGTGTCTGTGAAGACAAAAACATCTATGAAGCACGTAAAGAAAAGGACCTACAATTACAAAGACACACAAGCAGAGAGAAAAAATATCTAAATATTTGTGCGTGTTCGTAGGAGGCATCGTCTTCCTGCAGATCCTCAACCACGGTCCGACACGCCGGGCTCTGATTGTGGGCTGTGGTCTCCAGATGTTTCAGCAGCTGTCGGGTATAAACACTGTCATGTAGGTCATGTAGGTCATGTAGGTCATGTAGGTCATCTGCTCTGTTTCTCTTCTAATTGTTTTCCTTTGCAAAAACAGAAATCATGAACCAAAACAGAATAATTTTCAGATTTGTTTTTGTTTTGTTCTATTAAGTTCCAGTAATAATGGCCAAAAGATTGTGTTTTATTAAACTGTGTATTGAGTGTTCGCTGATTTCACAGTGTGGTGCTAGGTTTTTAATTAACATACGGCCCGTGGCCCAAAACCGGCCCGTTAGGGTGTTCAATCCGGCCCACTTGATGAATTTTGAAAATAAAAATTACACAAACATCATGTTCAGGATATATTTTTGTAAAATTATATTTCATTAAATAATAATAAATATCTAATATACTTGTAGTTCTTTGCATGGAAACAAAGGGGACTTTTGTTTTTATTTTCAGTTAATTATGTTGTGATTGTACTGGTCACTTGACGTCTAATTAGGTCGACTGTGGCCCATGAACCGTTTGACAGCCCTGTTACAGAGAGAGACAAGCGGCCCAGACCCTTTATTATCTTGATGTTAATTGGACCCTCACGTCTTCTGTGCAGGTACTACAGCGCCACCATTCTGCAGATGGCAGGAGTGCGGGACGATAAACAGGCCATTTGGTTAACCACCGTAACGTCTGCCACTAACTTTGTGTTCTCGCTGGTTGGAGTCTGGCTTGTAGACAAAGTCGGCCGCAGAAAGTTGACACTGGGGAGTCTCCTGGGTTTGTACTATTACAGTATCACAGTGACCTCTCGGTGTCATGTGATCAAACATGAACCCAGTCTTGACACTGTTACGTTTGCCGTATTGCAGGAACTGGTTTGAGTCTCACCTTGTTGGCAGTTGGATTCTTGCTGTCTGCCCAAAACTCTCCACCTATCACCCTCCACCCAGGTGATCCTGACAACTCCACCTGCACACAGTACAGGTAGGAAATCATCAGTGACTGTCATAGGATGAATAATTCACTGGTGCAGCCCAGACGCATCACAATCAACCAAATATAAATGTTGTGACAGTAAGAACTCTTAGAAAACGTTGTTTAAGAAAACACTGTTGTCACGTTGTTCTTAAGTTGTTTTAATCCGATCAAAGTCGGGACGTCTGTTTTCTCCTTTTTTCCCGGAAAACACGGATTCACGGTGACCTCTGACCTCCAGGTTCTGTGAGGCCTGCATGTTGGATCCAACCTGTGGTTTTTGCTTTCGTGAAAACGGAACTCAAGTGTACGACTCCTCCTGTGTTCCTGTCAATCCGGTGTCCATAGATCATGCATCATGGGGGAGGTGATTTTTCTGGATTTGGTTACTGAGCCTTAATCCAACAACCTGCTCTACGTATCTGTCTGCAGTACTGGATGACCAGTCCTCCGTACAGAAGACGATTGACCATAATTCACCCTTGATTTTCTCTCTCTCTTTTGTCTCTTTTGATTGAAGATGTTCAAATATGTCTGAGGTAAGCAACAGTCCAAACTGGGCCTACAACTTCTGTCCCACATCCTACTCTGGTGTTGTCCTGATGGGCCTCATCCTCTACCTTGCGTTCTTCGCTCCAGGTCAGACACCACTTTACTGTTTGGCCTCCACTTGCACTTTAGAGTAAATCAAGTAAATTATGCTGCTAACAAATGTGAGTCAACAAGAATGAAGTGATTGACACATTCAGTCCATGTTATCCTCAGAGTTGGGCCTTTTTATCTGTGCTTCTCTGTTAGGCATGGGTTCAATGCCCTGGACTGTGAATTCAGAGATCTACCCTCTGTGGGCCCGCAGCACCGGCAACGCCTGCTCAGCCGGGGTCAACTGGATCAGCAACGTCTTGGTTTCTCTCACCTTCCTTCATATTGCCCAGTTTCTCACCTATTATGGTAGGAGTATACGTGTTGTATATGTCATACTAATGTAGTGTACTGGAAAACACACTAAGTGTTTCCACAAGTGTTTCCACACGTAACAGCGACATCTGCTGGATAAAAAAACCCCTCATGGTCGGGAAGCCTTGGTAAAGACCGTGGGGAGAAAACGAACCATTGGTTTCATATCTGAAGCATACAGCAGTGTTGGACTAACTCTACATGGAGTGAAATAAAACTCATCATCAGTTTCACTTCCTGATGAACCATTCTCCGCCTTCAGGGGTGGACAAACAGCAGCTGTATCCACCACCTAGGTTTGCCTAAAGCGATACACGCATCAACGCGAGAATTCTTTTGGGGTTTTTTTCAACTTGATCTTTGGTCTGTAATTTGATCAAATCAACATGCTACAGTGTGATTTATACGTGTGTGTGTTTATAGAGGCACAATTTAACGAACTCTGTGTCACATAATGTTTTCTCTTTAACGTTAAGGCTGACGGTAAACAGTTTAAAAATGATCTAAAACTGGCCTGCTGCATTGCCTTTTCATCGCCGCTAGAGGGCGACAACAACCCTGGTTGTTTAAAGTACATTAACCCAGCGCAGATGTTAACAGTATGAGTGACCATGTGACTTGTTTCTGTCAGGGGCCTTCTTCCTCTACTCCGGCCTGGTGGTTCTGGGTCTCATCTTTGTCCTGGGCTGCCTCCCTGAGACCCAGGGTCTGCAGTTGGAGGACATTGAAAACCTGTTTGCCGGTCAACTCTGCTCCTGTGGAACAACCACATCCAAGGGCAACCGTCACGTCCACTACACCCGGGTAAAGGGCAGCAACTGTCCCCTATCTGACAACGATGCCTCTGATGTAGACTAGACTATTATTTGCTATGCGGTGCTGCTCCCTGGTGGCTGAACTCAACTATACATCCAACATCAGACCTGTCACAATGGGCATATATTCTGTTTCTTTGGAGACTGTGGGTTTTCTTATTTCTGCGGGGGTCATTTCTCTTTCTGTTTGTCTTTTTTTGTTTAAATTTCTCAACATGTTCTGAGTTAATAAATATATAATAATAGAAATATTATTTCTATTACATATTATTATAATGTATATTAAAATGTGCAATGTTTTACTTCAACACTCCAATCATTCAGCTGTGGCTGTTAATCCAATGAACAGATATTTGAACGTGGGCATCAGTTTTGAACTGTTTCTGCCTGATGGGTTCAAAAGTAGATCTGTTACTGTTGTTTTTTATTGCTGAGTCAATGAAGTGGATTTTTAAGCGAGTCCTTGACAAGACGCAACCAACGAAATTTCAAATAATTCAAATAATTAAGAATGCCGCCAAAAACTGTAATCAAGCAGCTAAACAGACCAAATGTAACTGATGTTGATGGTGTTGACGGCCAACAGAAGAGGAGACTCATCCACCTCTGGAGTTGGTTGACTTGTTAAGAAGCAACACCAAAAACTAATGGACATTTACCAAGTCTTTTGCTTATTGTATTGTAAATAAATAGTGTCACCAGATTAAACAGTATTTTCTTGGATTATTTTGTATTTATTTTCAATGAAATCAGTCGTTTGAAAGTGGCTTACATGTACCCTTTCACTTTTCTGTCTGTCTGGCCAATACCGTACTTTTCTACAAACTTTATTGTGATGTCACGATATGTTTCTTTAAAAGACTTTTAGTTTTCTCAGAGCACACCTCCCAGCACTGAGTAAATATATCTGATATACGGACCTGTACAACCATGGCTCAAAGTCTGAACTGCCCCTTTAAATTTTCACCATTCTAGCAAAGTTTGGATTTCAGCACAGCGCACTATGGAACAGTGGGGTCGGAGAGTGGCATCGCCTATATAACTGTAAGTCCCGCTCACGTGACTCTGATTTCATTTTGCTGCAATCAAAATAAAAATATTACTGTTCTAAAAACATGTCTTTTTGCTTCCACAGCTAAGATAACGTGGACCTGGACTTTTATACTAGGACTTTGTTTATGATTTGTGACCATAAAGGTTTATGATTAGAGTTTATGATTTGTGACCATAAAGGTTTAATGAGGGTTATCATTTTTATTTCAGTGCAAACTCTAAGATGTCTTATCTGTTTTACTATTTAACAGTCATATTGTTTTGATCTTGGCCACTGTATTCGACCCCCCCACCCCCGCCCCCTTTAGTAGTGGTTTGGTACAGTAAATCCCTGAAACTCCCTACCAGGACAGTAGAACTAATGAAGCCTCTTGGATGAGGAGGACAAACATTTTCAGTTCACCTGAGGTGAGTTTTAAAACTGCTTTTAAATTTTAGTTCACCTGAGGTGAGTTTTAAAACTGGTTTTAAAATTTTTATGATGATGACCTGGATGACAGAGAATCGTCATCAAAATCATCATCATCATCATCATCAAAAGTATACAACAGGCTGTTGATGAAAACAGCCTGAGACATATTTCTATCACTGTTGTGAAGTAGTCATAATGTTTGCAGTAAATTTAATCAACTGGAAAAACATTTCATCAAAACATTGTTTTCATAAGATAAAGGTTGAAGAAAGGTTCTTGTTGTTTTTGGGGTTTTGTTTTGTTGGGGTTTTTTTCTTACCACACTGTTTTCAAACATTGGATTTCACAGGTATAAAAAGTTAGCAAAAAGTTTTTTTTCTCATTACAAATAACAAGTTGCTGTAAGTCTGTTTTTATTTCTAATATAGTAGAGTATGTGTAGAAAGTTGAGTCATTCTTTTGAGTCTTGATGGTGATTATTGAACGCGTGTAAACCTGCTGTTTATATTTCATTAAGCCCCGCCTCAGAGTCTGTTTGTCAAACACATTATAACCGTAGTTTAATCTGAGTGACCAGAGGCTCAGACCTCAATCACTGGATCCCGTTCCACTGTTGTTGAGCCACTGTCGTCTTCAGTAAGTTCAAATAAATGCTTTTGTGACATTTGTTGGCAAAAATAAATAAAATTGCTGAATGACCTAATTCTACAGGTGTGGTCACAAATCTTTGGAGTTTATCTGCAGATCCAATGAGACAGATGAGAGAAAAACCGAGGAAAGCCACAGGTAAGTGGGAGGAACGGGAAAAACAAATGAAACATTCAACCTGTCTTTCCAAAAGTATATTTATATACACGTCTTTATTAGTCACACACGTTTATGATATGTAACATTTAATTTGTCACCTCTATTGATCCTAATCTAATCTAATTAATCTAATATTAATTAATTAATATTAATTAATTAATCTAATCTAACCTAACCTACATACCAATCCAAAACCAAATCAAGCATTCAAAAAATAAATGATTCTGACTGTGTTATAATAAATGTGTTTTCCATATTCACATTATACCTAGGATGTTATTTACAATATAAAAAGTTATTTGTGTCAAATTTCCCTGCATCAAAACAGATCGATAACCTTAGAATCAGTGAGGAGAAACACGGCACTTTTACGACTATTTATGGACTCCATTAATGTTTGACAGACAGAAAAACAGGAATGCGGATCTCTCAATTATGTCATTTCATTTTCTATACTGTAATTACTCTGTCAATAATTACTTAGCTACTAGTATGGGCAAATACAACAGGTTCACACAACGTTCCAATCGTTACCGTGGGTGCTTTGGTATTGTCAATACTATATGAGGAGAAGGCGGAGGCAGGCACCATCCAGTCAGACAAGTCGAGTCCTTACTGCACCGACTTCACCAGTTCCTCCTCTCACCAAAACCAAGAGATTGTTGATTTGTTGAGATTCATATTAAAAACATTGTCGTATTAGTTGGTTAACTGAAACACATCAGAACCAAACGTGGTTCTGTTACTACTGCAAACTGCAGTGAAGGTTTTCTTTGATTTTCATTGTGACCTTTGACACTGACATTTCGTTTCTTCACTAAAGAAGACGCTCTGTCTATGTGGAGTTTGTATGTTTTTCTGGTGAGTGCCTGAATTTTTTTTACAGTTTACTTCAAACCTCAAATCAAGCAACAATACGGTGTGGTGGATGAGAGTGAATACCTGCCTGCCTCCATATGTGGCTCTACACTGGGCTGGCGACCTGTCGAGGGTGCGGTCCATCCTCATCCCCGGTCGTTTAACAGCATTCAGCTGTAAAAACAGAAGATTCCCATGAAATTCACAAAAATGTTGAAAAATACCAAAACAATAATTTCCCTTTGGGAACATGAAGACACAATGCCTTGAAGTTGTTAGATTATCAAATAGTTGCTCCTTAATTCATTTCACATTTAGGTTTAATTGGAGTTTTAAAAAGAAAAAAGTCTATCATTTAATAGCATTTCTTTCTATTTGTTTTAGTTCTAATGGCGATTAGAAGGAGGATACACAAGAAGCACATTTGTGTTGTCTTCTTGGGAATGACGACCTTCCTCATCTACCTCATCTCTGAAAGCAGAAATCCTGAAACACTAGAACTGGGACAGCCACAGTGGGACGACCCTGGGCCATACCATGTGGCCTATCCACGAAATTACAAATTCATCATGGATGACACGCCTGTGTGTAAGAGTCGGGATCCTTTCCTGCTTCTGATGGTTGTAGTTGCACCTGCAGATGTTGCAGCTCGGGATGTCATTCGAAAGACATGGGCAAAAGAGAAGGTGGTTCTGGGTCAGATGGTGGACATCCTGTTCCTAATGGGCCTGCCCACAGGAGCTCATGCTGAGCAGCAACAGCAGAAACTCCAAGCTGAGAACCAGCAGAATCATGACATGATTCAAAGTAATTTTGAAGACAGCACCTACAATCTGACGATCAAGACCATGGTCATGATGGAGTGGCTGGCTGCAAACTGTCAAAAGACTACTTTTGTGATGAAGGTCGACTGTGATATTTTCCTTAACGTCCAGAATTTGGTGAAACATTTACTGGATCCCAGCACGGCCAAACAAAACTATGTGACAGGTTTGGTGATAGAAAACAGACCTGTTTTAAGAAATCCATACATCAGGTTTTACATGCCAAGAGAAATAGTTGCTGAGCCAGTGTACCCTCCGTATCCACTGGGTACGGCTTACGTCATGTCCTTGGACGTGGCCGTAAACATTCTCACTGTATCTCGTGAAGTCAAACCAATTAACATCGTCGATGTCTACCTTGGCATGTGTCTGAAACACCTGAACGTTTCCCCCATCAACTCTCCTGAAGCCTATACGTTTGTTAAAGACACCATTCATCCCCTCAGCAACTGTAGCCTCTCAAAAACTGTAGCAGTCGCAACCGTTGACACCACAATGATGATGAATTACTGGAAAAAGAGCAAAGACCCAGAAACTAAATGCTAAATAAAGAGTCAGGTGCAGGTTACATAAAACACACATAAAATGTTCAGCCTTTGACACAAGGGGCAGGATTTCACTTTACCAAGGACACCTCAACATTTATAAACCATGAATCCTACCAGGAATATAGTGTATATTACCAAAAATGTCCCCTTACGTCTAAGGACTTCAAACTAAAATATCTGAATTTTGTACATGACCAAAATAATGTGCGTTAGGTCTTTTCCATTTTCACATTTTTATACATGTTGTATTTTCTCCATTTACTTTAGTAAATTAGTAAATGTCTGTACAGTGTAGCACAGCTCGGCTTATCTACTGCATGTCACACTCTTTTTGTTGAAATAGTATGCCCTCTGGTGGTAATAAACCTAATTAAAAACGTGATAATGTCACCAAACAATAAGCAAGGCGTGCTAAACAAAAGCGGCCGTGAATTTTAAAAGTGCGTAAACCAAACTGTTGTTTTTATCAGGTAAGAAGTTTTTATTTAATATTGTCTGCTCTCCATCTTGTTTCAATATCCGATTAATTGCCTCATACACACCTGCTAGCATCGTCTCCTTGTAACGTAACAAGTTTTCTGGTATTGATATGTTATCTTTTGTTCAAGTATGATTATTTAAAGTTGTGTTAAATATGACATACTTGTCATAATTAAATGTCTTTATTCCGAAAACATTTGAGAAAACAAATTTTAACGCTTGGCTTTGTTACCTGTTCGGCTAGCTTATCGAGTGAGCGGTACATCCGGAAGTTGACTTAAGATGCATTTCAAAGTAAGAGCATCGTGCTGTTTTGACATTGTATTTCACATTTTAAACAGGAACCGTTGCGTGAAAAAGTACAATTTAGAAATCATATTTGTTACGTTTTGAGCTCTTATTGTTCTTAAATATTAGTCAGTGAGGTTGATATCGCTTTGTATTCAGTATGATGTTATGGTGTGATGGTTTTAAATAAAACATTTTTGGGAATTTGTAGTTCATTGTGTACACATGAACTAAAGCTTCAACGAAAGGTTTTTATTTTTTAAAGGCACTATTTTCCAATTATTTTTGTCGGTTTTCATTTTTCATGGCCACAGAAAATGTCAGATTTTGGGACACATAGAACATACAACATATAGAAAAGACAATGACTTTCACATTTCTACCCGTGTTTAATGTACACCTTCCAAATTATGTTGAAGTACAAATTAAATACGAGTAAATGGGCTTTTTCCTTCCTTTCTTCAAACGAGGAGGTGAACCAACAATCTCCATCCTGTGGGTTTTAAGTCCCTGTCACTATTTCACCATAATTCTGTCCAAAGTTCAATATATCCACCTTAAATAAGTACAACGTTGTTTTCTAGTAATGGGAGAAGATGTAGTTCTTTTAAAAGTACTAATTTGTGACTATTGAAGTTTAAGAAATATATACAATGATATACGACACAATAATTAGTTTGTATGTTGTGTATCATCCAGCTGAGCCATACTGTTAGTCAGCACTTTGTTGTAGCTTTGTTGCTGAAGCTACAACCTCAAGATGAAAGATTAATGTGAGCAAGAAGAAAGTGATATGGGCACTGGAATACCAAAGGGAGAAGTGATATTTATTGATTGATTTATTATTTGTTCTTAACAAGAGAAATCCAGGTTCAAGCAGCAGGTCTGTCACTCTGTCACTCTCCTCTGTTGGCGTTGAAGGCTTATTGTATTTGAACACCTTGATAGGACAAAATATATTAGAATGGGACCCATACGTACGGTTGGGTAGTTGATCCCCGGTTACTCTTTAACCCCCTCTCATAAGTATTCACAAGAGAAAAAAAACAATCTTTAGTCCTTTGAAGTCTAACAGCTAACAGAAGCATTCAAAACATTCTAAGTCAGTTATCAGCGCTCTTTGCCTATAAGAAGGCTGCATTAAAGTCCAGTGAGTAATATATAAAAAGATGGGATGAAAAGAGGAGTTAGACATATGAACAGTAGAAGTGTGTAAAACAAGGAAGGCTGCTGAAGGAGTCAGTAGAGTAGATCCAGAATGACAAGCCAAAAGAAGAAGAATAATAATGTGTCCACTGCCTCTGATAGTGCCAGTAATACAGACGCAGAACACTACCACTGTTCTTCTGACTTCAGTGAAATTGAAGAGGATTCCTCGACAGGAAAAACCACCGCTAATGAAATTGAGATTTTAGATGATTCAAACAAAGATGAGACCAAAAAAACGACTTCTCCTGAAAGCCAAACAATCGGCAGCTGCTTAAAAGGTGACCTTTGCTACAGTGACCAGAATGACGTCGACGATGGTTTTGTGAATGACCTTCACAAATCAAGTAGGACTGACGCAGTACAAGAGAGTAACCCTCGTATCAGTACGGATGGCTTTGGGCTCCCAGAAGATGAGGGCAGAAACAAACACGTATTTAAAAAACCCACAGACACGTGCAGTTCTCCCACCAAATACCACTCCCACTCAGAGAAAGATACGGATGCTTTTGTAACGGAATTCCCCAAATCACTTGAAAAGAAAAGTGATTTATTAAAAGCTTTAAACTCTAGAAACAGAATCCTGGATTTTGGGGATTTCGACGATGCTGGCAAAAGGACAGGGAAGAAATTCAGCTGTAACTCTAAAAGAAATCCTCTATTCTTTCCTGATATGTCAGCAAATGTTCAAGAGAGACATTACAGTTCCAGCAAATGTACTGGCGATTCAGTCAGTAGTAGAAAACAAACGTCCACTGTGAGTGACGTTGAGCTGTCAAGTGATGATGGGGAGGACGAGTCCGTGAGAGAGAGAGTCTCGTTCCATAAAACAAGAAACAACATCAACAGTCACTTAAAAGGAGACCACCATCTTTATTGCACTGATCTCAGTGAGGTGGATGATGATTTTGTGAACGTGCTCCAGAAAACAAGAAAAAGGCGAGCGGAGATTTTCAAGGCAGGAAGATCGACACCCAGGATCAAAGACTTTCATCGTTCAGAGGAAACTGATAGAAATAACTTGTTTGTGAAAAATCCAGACATATATAGTCCAGGGAACGCTGACCGATACTCCCACTCTGATGACGATGAAGAATTTTCCTTTGAGGAACTTCTAAAATCCCAAAATAACAGTGGGAAAACGAGTGCCTGTGACCTCTCAGGTGATGAGGTCATGAAGACAGACACGTGCCCGAAGAGTCACACTTTTAGTAGACCCCCCAAAACAGACCATAACTCCTGTTCTAACATTTCTGAAGCTGGAAATGATTCTGGAAATGAATTCCCTGTTTTAAGAAAAAGTCAGCCACATGATTTCAGAGACGTAGATTCATCAGGTTCTGGGATCAATAAAGTAAACCTATCAATATACATATCTATTGATGACATTGAGTTTGCTGACAGGGAAGGATTGAAGAACTATGAGAAAAACACTGGTTTCTCAGAAGCAAATTGCCACTCCTGTTGTGACAAGAATCCGTTTCTGGATGAAGAAAATATCCCTGGAATGTTTCAGTCTGGAAAATCTGATATTCAGTCTTCGAGTGTTGGAAGACAGACATCAGAGTTCACACCTGGTGCACATAAGAATAATAATAAAAATAATGTATCAGAACCTGACTTTCACAGCATGCCCACAGGAGACGCAGTTACAGAGAGTGACCAACAGGAGGCCCTTCAAGAGACCAAGCATGAAAGATTGAATGTTTCAGATAATTTGTTGAAAGAAGCTTTAACTCCTGGGAGACTTCACACTCCCTCTGTATCCACCCCCTCTTCTCAATTACCCAGTCACCAGGCTTCTTCAAACAAAGACTTTCACTCCGTTAAATGGGTTTCTGAATTTCCACACAACCCAGAACAAACACCCAGCACAGTGACTTCAAGTGCTTATCCAAAAATCCATCAAATCAACACAAATGAAAACCTTTTAATCCAACTGAAGTCCCCTAAGCCGTGGTCCAGTGAAGTGAAATCAAAGTATCTGGGAACTCTTGCTCTTTTGGATCAACAGGTTTCACTAGAGAAGTCGGAGCCACTAACAGCCAATTTGCTAAGAGCTGTCTATTATCACAGATGGCTGACCAAGAAAAATGAGAAATCAAAAGAGAACATGTTAACAAAGAAAGATGAGGAAGAAAGAAAGAAACAGGAGAACCAAGCCAAACGGGACGCTGCTGTTTTGTCATATGAGGCTTGGGAGAAAAAGAAGAAAAGTCTTGAAGCAGAGAGCAAAAAAAAGCAGGAAATGATGAGAGAAGAGAAACAAGTCTGCAGTAAACAAGTCGCTGAAAGAAGACAATCTGCTACAAAGGCATATGAAAGACGGAAACAGGAGTGGGACCGGCAACTCAAACAGATGTACAGACAAAAGAAAGATGAAGAAGACATTCAGAAACGTAAAAGCCTTGATGAGAAATCTGAAAAAATGCAGTCGAGCAAAAAAGCATTTGACAAGTGGAAACATGATCATGATCTTCTCCACAAAGAGAAGAGGAGGAAAAAGAAGGAAGCGGAGGACAACATCAAACTTAAACAGGAAAATGAATGGTTAGAGAGAAAAATAAGGAATGAAACTGTTTTTCATGAATGGTGTGAAAAGAAGCATGTCGGTGTAGAGCGCAAAAACATGAAATCAAAAACACAAGAGGAGAAACATCGCTTAAAAGAAGAAAGAGACCAAGTGGCTCTAAAGGCGTACGAGGACTGGCTGGCCAAAAAAGACCTGAAATAAGGGATCATAAGGATGTTTTATCCATCATCACTATGAGCTCTTTTGAGAAAACAAGTTTTGGAATATTTTAAAATGTATTCCCAAATGTCCAACTTAGCTGTGTTGTATTTGTTGCTGTTGACTTTGATACTCTAATAATCATTTTAAATAAGTGTTTCCTTTTTAACACAGACATTCCATGTGTTTGGCTAAGCATCCATTATCGCTGCTGCACCGTCACCAGAGTGTGGATGAAAAAAATGAAGAGTTAACAAGAATGACAAAAGATAACCATAATATTGTATCCATGGAATAAGTAGTTATAGAATGTAAAACATTGGTTTTTGTTGTCTTTTGCTATTTAAAAAACCAATACAATCTGCCTTTTTTGATATATAAATGTGTGGATACCAGCCATGGGAATCATAAACACCTTTTAGACTCCTCCCTCCTCCTCCCCTCATCTTGGTCTTCTTCTCGTCTCTTTTAAATATATATTCTTGAACTGACACTGGATGGTATGTTGGAATAATGGATAAATGTTGGAATAATGTTGGAGGAATAAGATAAAATGAGATGACAAGACAATGATGCTTCACCACATTTATTATGTCACCAAGCAAGTAGCATTTAGAGCAACAAAAAGTGCAAGTTAGCAGAAACTATTTGGGATAATTATGATCATACTTTGATCTCATGAGAGCAAGATCAGTGAAAGTTAAGCAGATGTAAAATAAACCTTAGTTGGGACTTCAGGTAAAAAGGTTTCAATATTTGACATCACATTTATTAAATTTTTTATGTTGATCTAGATTTTGCATTTTAAAATGTTTGTGGATTTTCCTAGTTGTGTTTGTGAATTGATTTATTTTAATGAATGAAATGAATGAAAATAAGAATATGAGTTTTCAAGGTCATTGTGGATTTTTATAAAATGGTACCATTGCAGTCACAGGCACATCCAAATCGAACTTTGTAGTCATGGCACCGATCTCCGATCTGGTCATCGTTCCGACATACAAAACCCAGAGTTGGACTGAATCTGAACAAAAGGAAGAAGAAATTCAATATAAAATATGTAAAATATGCAACAAATACCACATTGCAGTAAAAGGACATTTCTTTATGTTTTTTTTTAATAATTATTCAACATTTTGTAATTTATTCATCAGTTTAATGCAGGAGCTCAAAATTAGGAGCTCACTAAAATATTACCCGTCATTGCCATAAATTTGAGTAACGTAGCCTAACAAAATAAAATAAATAAAATTTTAATGTCTATAGACTACAGAGGGAAACTTACACGTAGGATATTTGGCCAGTAGCACAGAATCGGGTGTTTGTGTCAGTTGTCATAACGTCTATGAAGAGAGGTGTTTCACAGATCTTTTTTGGATAATCTGTCTGCAGGTCTTCCAATAACTCCCAGTCGCCAGTTCCACTCGAGTCATCTCGATCAAACCAGTTTGTCCAGCATACTGGCATGAGAGGAGAAACAGGGTCAGTGCTCCAAACATGTTAGGCTATGTAAAAAAGAAGCAGAGTAGTGGCACAAACGACAGCAGAGCTTTGTTTCAAACCTCTTTCGGTGCAGAAGTTGCCAGAGCACTCGAAACGAACGCGATAATCTTTGCACTTGCCACACTTCTGATCTGAGTTCTTACAGATAAATCCAGATGCTGTGTCAGCTCTGCACAAGAAAACAATAATATTAGGACATCATTATATTAAAACCAAAACATTTTGCCACACTACTGTGTATAGTAACACCTACACAGCAATAACATCCCCTGTTGAATCTACACTTCCTCCAAATGTGGTTTGAACATCAATTTGGAGTGGACTACTGCAGATCTTTCCAGGGTTTTCACAGTATAAGTCCTTGAGGGTCTCCCAATCTCCAGTTCCAGAGGGGTTATCTCGGTCAAACCAGGGTGTCCAGCACTTTGGACCTGTGATCCAGGAAGGGAGGACGTTACAATTTGAGTTTTCAGCACAAATAAGTCACTTTTTTAAGAACTGGTTTCTTACACCTTATCATAATTCGTGCTTGACATTGCTAAAAAGCCAACATCTTTGTACTGTAAATATTGTTGATTAACTTTAAATGAAACAAACCCACTTGTTGAACAAAACTTGTCAGGGCACTGGAAACGAACACGATAATCCTCACACTTGCCACATGTTTGGTCTGAGTTCTTGCAAATGAATCCAGTGCTGGTGTCCACTCTAACAATGACACAGGATCATTTTTTCTTTGAGAACACATTTTATGCAAACAGTAACTAAGCAACTTAGCATACTGAAAGAAAACTAACGAATGAGGAAATGGCTCTCTGAATGGCTACAGAACGATCTCGAAATTAGTGGTTAAACAAAGCTTACAAGGTAATCACGTCCCCAGTTGATGACAGAACATCCCCAGATGCAGTTTGGACGTCAATATCAAGTGGTCTGTCGCATATCAATCCAGGGTTTTCTTCACGTAGTTCTTCAAGGGTCTCCCAGTCTCCAGTTCCTGAAGGATCATCTCTATTAAACCATGGTGTCCAGCATGTTGATCCTATAAGAGAGATACAAAGAAGAGAAGAGACATACCATAGAGATAATGGAGTATTTAGTACTTAGTGTACATACATATATATATATATAAATATATACAATGGTATAACTAAAATACAATAATAAATAATAATTGCGATTGTAATCAACCACACCATACACAGCAACAATAATTACCTACTAATCTACCAATACTACTAACACTACTCTATCTACTTCTACTAACCTACTAATCTACTAACATTCACTGTTCAGTGGATAATAAAGTGCTATCTATCTCTAGCTTAGCTTTATACCAGTATGTATTCACCTTTGTGAAATAAAAGTAGACAATGTCTCACCTGTGTCAATACAGAAACTGTCAGGGCACTGAAAACGAACGATGTAATCTTTACAGATGCCACTTTCCTGAGCTGCATTTTCACACGTAAACCCATTGATGGTATCCACTCTGCAAAAATAAATAATCCTTTTAGGTTCAACATATAAGCAAGATTTGTTCTAGTGGTTAAACTTTTCTTCTTCAATTATATATATATATATATATATATAAAGTTTCAGTTCTGTGACACCAACTCTTGCCCAAAGTTTACTTCTTGTTTTCTCGTTAATCCAAAGCCCTAGGACATAATATTTGAAAACAGCAAGTACAGCGGTCCCTCGTTTATCGCGGTAGATCGGTTCCAAGGTCTGCCGCCAGAACTGAATTTTCGCGAAGTAGTGATACCATATTTACGCGCAGTAAAATGATGACGAGGAAGGTGATGATGACTTTTACTGCCTACAGCCGATGATTGATTTTACGTCTCTCCAGAGGGTGGTGCCATTTCTTGGGGCTCCTCTTCCACGGTCTCCGAAGGTGTATCCGTAGTAGTAGTAGCAGGAACGGACTCTTTTTTGCGGGGCTGCCGAACATTGTGATCGGTAGTTGCTTCCGCTGCTTCTTTTTCCAGTCGAAGAGTAGCTTGTAGGCAGTCATGACGTCGTTGATTTTGTTGCAAATTTGTACCGATCGAACCATATCGTCGTCCCATTCCTGTGACATCTCTTACAGATCCAAATCCGGGATACAGTATATTTTATATACAGTTAAGTCGTGAATCCGCGAAAGATGAACCGCGAAACTGCGAGCGACTACAGTACTTCACTTTCCTTTCACTTTTCTACTTTTCCTTTTGAACAAAGAAAAAGAAAAGTGGTGAATTTCTGCGAATATTCATAACATATCTTTTTTAATGTCATTCATTTGACATTCTAATCAAAATGTATAAAGTACCTACACATCAATTTTGTCCCCTGTTGACTCCATACTGTCCCCAGACGTTGTATTGACTTGAATATGAAGTGGACTGTCACAGATTTGACCAGGGTGTTCTCTGCGAAGGTCTGCAAGCATCTCTGAGTCTCCATTTCCAGAGGGGTCATCTCGATCAAACCAACGTGTCCAGCAATTTGAACCTTTTATCGAATATTCCAGGGGAAATTATTTTTTCGAACATCATATTAACAATTATAATTACATAATTACATTACAGAGTGTTTGAAGGCACATAAATTAATTACTTGAAATACTAATGTGGAACTTTTGGAATGTAAATATGCAGAAAGCAAAAGGCAAATAAAAAGACAGTTGACTTGCAATTATAGGATGATAAAAATTGTACTCCTTTCTTGTTCAATTAAAATATGAAATTGGTCCAAAAAAAAACTCACTTGTGTCAGTGCAGAAACTGTCTGGGCATTGAAAACGAATAGCATAGTCCTGACATTGGCCGCTTGTCTGTTCCGAGTTCTTACAAACAAATCCAGTGCTAATGTCAGCGCTGCATAAGGAAACATTTTTCACATATTATAACTAACATTGCACTATATTTATTGGTGTTACTAACAAAATTATCGTTTGGATAAAATTCAAAAATAAAACACCATTTTGTACAATTTGAGTCCTTGTTGAAAGGAGAACTATTACGTTTTCTTCAGATTTGACATGGCTTCATAGTTATCATAAAGAAATATTGAAATTTGAAACTTTGGGTACTCAGGTTAATTTGTAATACTTACACATCAATTGTA